AGGTTCAATATTTTTGCCTAAAAATTTCTTAATACCTCTGAGATGTGAAAGTGCCATCTTAAATAAACGGGCCGATAATTCTACCCCTGAAAACACCTGCCCACACACTAAATCCAAAGTTTCGTCTGCCCAAATACAATTTAGCGAAAAATCACGCACTCGGTTACAACTTTCCAGGAACTACTGGCAAAAAGCCATACAGTGTTCAAAATTCTCCTGGTCTAAGTTGATGAACTCTTCTGATCCTGTATGGCTTGAGTTTGTGTTTTTTCAAAATTCTCCTAGATTTAGGTCTTGGTAGGCCTGTTGATATTTTCAAATTTCGCGTTGACGTTTCGGGATTATTTTCAACAGCTCCTAAAACTACTATTTCTTCCAACTCTTTATCCCTATTTGATTCATATAATTGACCACCATCAATTAGGTTGTGTTGTAATCTTGCGAAAATGTCTCTAAAAGGTTGTCTTCTCTCTGGATACCTCTCGTGATACAAATTGCTTGCTGCCTCTGCATTTTCCCCAGTTTGTATAAAACATACTATCATTACCATTTTTCATAATTCTCATACTTCATTTCGAATGTGTTTGGAAACTGAACAAAAACCACTAATTGAAGAGCGTCTTTACTGCTTAAATCAAAATTTGACAGCTACCAATAAAGATTTGCATTCTGTTTTATCGCCGCATCGTCCAAAGCCTTCTCGATCAAAGTGTGTGTTTCAAACTCTACATAAAAAACCTAAAAGCTCTATAACTATTGAAACAAGAGTTTCACTTTAAAAGTGTCCAATTTGGCTGACACTGTTCTTCAAATTGGGGTCGATTCTACGCTGCAGTAAACCTCGATGGGAGTTTCACTCTTCTTCTACTCCCGGAAGTAGTTTCTTGTAAGTTAATTTTTCCTTTGGTTCATTGATGAGAGTTTTTGGTTTTTGTTTAGAGTTTTCATCATTTGAGTCATGTTCTTGTGAAAATACTTAATCTTCTTATAGGTCTCAGTAAACTGTTGGGTTTCATGTTTAAAACTTATTTGAACACTTATTTCAAAATTTCTTTTCTTCAATATTCATCAGTTTACGTTTGAAAGATAGTCGATTAATTCTCCTGTCCTCTGAGAGTAGTTGTATATTAAAGCATTCAACATAAGAAGATAAGTGAATAAACTAATACAAAAAGGTAGTTTGAGGATCTGGTTATCTAAGTTGACTTGTGCTTTACTAGAAAACATCATAAGATATTTCCATACGAAATTTCACTGCAAATATACTCCTGGAACATAAACTGTAAGAGCCTCCTATTTGATAAATTTGATTCAAATAACTAATATCTGAATAAATATATAAAAAATAGATAATTTGTATTATTATTTAGTTAAAATCATGCTGCCCTGATCCTTGATACTAGAAAAACACACCTAAGTATAAGAAATTCATTGGCTGAACTTCTTTTTTAGATATAGTGGATTTTGACGTGGGTTTTTAAATAGATAGAGTGATTCAATGGCATGGGGGGTCGAGTGGTTTATTTGTTATTAAGAAATTAAATGTTGAACATTTTATTTAAGAAAAAACAGAAAATTGGTAACACAATCAACGGATAAAGTGTTCAAAATGACTTCCATCTAGTTCTATACAATAATACAGTCTACTTTCGAAAGCGTTCCTTACATTATTGAAGATGTCCAGAGTCAGAAATCGGCATTCCCGAATAATTATCTATCGCAGGTCTTCTAGATTTGTAGACTTTATTTAATTAGTAGTAAACGTTTTGAAATGGACGACACTGTAGTTTTTTCTGTACTGGTAGTTTTTGTTTAATCTAGTTGTCGCAGAACAAAAAGTAGATAGTTGGCCACTGTCACTTCTTCACAAATTATTATTCAGTCATCCTTGTTCACTTCCAACATGGTTTATTCTACTGAAGAAAGAATAGAAATTGATGCAACCTATTATCGAAATATTGAATGTGCTAAAGCTGCTTCAAGAATTTATATTACGAATCATCCAGACGACAAAGTGAGCCATCAATACGTTAGACACTTAATGGATAAGTTTCGAACTTCAGGTTCTGCTCACAACAGAGAACATGAAGTATCCCGTCTTGTCAGAAATGACAGAGTTGAAGTTGCAGTTTTAGGACATGTACAAATGGATAATCGACAATCTATCAGACAAGTAGCTAGAGCGGCTGGTGTATCAGCTACTACTGTTGGATTTTGAAAGCCTACAAATTCCATACTTTCAAAATAAGGCTAGATCAGGAATTAAACGAAGATGATCCTGATCGTCGACTTCAGTTTTGTGAGGTGTTCAGCGAGAAATTAACCAATTACCCAAACCTATTATACAATACATGTTATTCAGAAGAAAGTTTCAGAAGAAAGTATCTTGTCCACTAGATGGAGTGACATTTTTGTTGTTCGCTCCAATTTAGGACGATTTTCAATTATGGAATATCATTGACTTTAGGTCGATGATGGCCACTATCTTGCACTGATGAATGGCTAATGAGGCCGAACCCGGCTGCAAGTGTTCCCTTTCCAAAATTGAAGGTCGACTCTTTCAGTTGTATTGCCAATTGCATACCTATGCAGGAAATTTTCTGTGAAGATTCCTGAACTGACACCTGTCGAATATAATCCAACGTCGTTCGTGACATTAGACAAGGGAGTAGTTGTTTTCTGATAGGCGTCAGTCCATTCAACCTACTGTGTAGGTATATGCGAGACTGGCTTGAACATTTGAAGTTCATTTCTTTAGATTTGTTTACTACCTGTCTTCAAGCATAGCCCACTGACTAATAAGAAAGTTTTTCTTCCTTATTCAGAGGAACCGAGCAAATTTCGGATATGCAGTTGGTTAGTACCTCGCCCACTAGATGGAGTGATATTTTTGTTGTTTGCTCCAACTTAGGACGAGGAATGAAATACTCTAAAACAATTTCGGTTTTCAATTATGGAATATCATTGACTTTAGGTCGATGATAGTCACTATCTTAAATTGACGAGTGGCTAAGGAGCCCGAAACCGGTCTGCAAGTGTGCCCGTTCCAAAATAGAAGGTCGACTATTTCAGTTGTATTGCCAATTGCATATGCAGGAAATTTTCTGTAAAGATTCCTGCACTGACGCCTGTCGAATATAATCCAACGCCGTTCGTGACATTAGCCAGGGGCGAAGTTATTTTCTGATAGGCGTCAGTCCATTCAACCTACTATGCAGGTATATCCGAGACTGGCTTGAACATTTAAAGTGCATTTCTTTAGATAAGTTCTTTCATGTTGAATGGTGAAGTGAATAGACATAATTGTCGTTACTGGATCGATGTCAATCCTCATTTGGTGATGGGAACACATTCACAAACTCCACAAAAATTGAATGTCTGGGCCAGCATTCTTGGTAATCATATTGTTGGACCATTCTTCATTGAAGGTAATCTCAATGGAGACACATACCTAAATCTTTTACAAGACTGTGTAGATCCTATAATTACAAAATTTTAGAAAATGATGACAATTAGAAGAAAATGAAAAAACATTCCAACAGGATGGTGCACCTCCACATTTTGATGTTCGGGCGAGACAGTTTTTGGACAAACTTTCTCCAATGCGTTGGATTGGCAAAAGGGGTCCAGTGGAGTAGCTAGGTAGATCACCTGATCTCACACCGATGGACTTCTTTCTGTGGGGATACCTGAAGTCGAAAGTGTACTCTACTAAGCCTACAAATCTAGGAGACCTGCGACAGATAATTGTTCGGGAATGCCGATTTCTGACTCCAGACATCTTGAATAATGTAGGGAACGCTTTCGATAGTGAACTGTATTGTATGGAACTAAGTGGAGGTCAGTTTCAACAATTTATCCGTTGATTTTATTTCCGCTAGTATTATTTGTTGTTGACTTCCTCATTAAAATTAACGACAGCGAAGTTTCTGCTTTTTCTTAAATATTTAATTGCTCAATAATGAATAAACCAATTTCGAAAAACATTAGAGGTAATAGAGGGACAAAAGACCTTTCAAATGATGTATCACTCGACCCCCCATCCCATTAAAAAAAATAGGGGGGTAGTTGCTGACCGCAAGGGGGGGGTGAAGTTTCGGGTATGATTTTCATATCAGAATTAGTCCCCCTAGAAATAAAAATTGACGTGTTTTTTCAAATTTTCGATCACACGTTCGTATCTGACTTACAGGGAGTCAAGTTTTCGTTGAAACACTCATTTCAAAACCCCTTGCTCACTGCAAGGTTTTTTTAGGTTAGGTTAAATTAGACAAAATCTTGGAGAATAAAAAGTCGAGGATATAAGAAATAAGCTGTGAGGACTGTTACAGACTGTTAGACTAAGATAAAACTCGTAACTTGTTTCGAAGAACACAAAATATCCGAAAAATCTAGTGTCTCCCAACATGCCATAGAATAAATGAAAACCGTCTGACCCTAGGTTTATGGATGCTTTCTAAGGTGTGAAAATAATGTCACACAAGGACTAGGAACAGTGAGAAAAGTCCCATTCCAAAAAGTCCATTGTTATCATTATATAATTCGTTCTGTTACAATTAGCGGGAACTTTCACAAGAAAATATCCTCGAAAATATTCCGCGAAAATATATATCACACATTGATGTGTGTCTGTAAGTGATAGTGTACCCTGTTAGATATAGAGACTTAAGACGCCAATTTGGTTACTGAAACGCGCGTCGAGAAAGTTGCAGTTCTGGCATTTGGGAACAGCTCTGATTTTGGATTTATTCTACCCCAAAGGTTCCAGTGCTACCTTTCAATTCATTATTGAATGTTGATGTAGGGGGGGTGGGCGGTTATTGGGATAAATACCCCCATCACCCCCACATAAACAAATCCACTCTTGAGTGGTATTCAGTAATGTAATTTCATGGAACCTCAAAGGACTGATGTTTCTTACAGGTATCAGCATGGACCTATTAAGTCTAGGGATCTAGAGGTGGAATAGGTTGAGAAACAATGAAAAAAGATAAACTCACCTCAAAAATCATAAGAAGGATTTTAACATATAATCTCCTTATTCCTAATGACTGGCCGATTGATGCTAAAAAGATTATACACACAAGAAGCATCAAAAACGGTGTTAACAGGATAGACCCTGTTATTGAGATTACTGTCAACAAATATGCCATGGTTTATTTTACAGTAAAAACTGGGTACTCTCATCTAGATCTTCCAACATAAATAATTCACGAGCTTTAAAATCAACTTTTAGGGTTCCACTTCCAATTACATATTAAAAGATTAACTTTGAATATTTTTTGTAGTAACAAGAAAATCAATGAGAATTATGAATGAGTCCAGTTTGCCAGTCGACAAATCGTAAGACGAAATCACTGAAATACACACACACTTCACAATGACATTATTACTGACAAACTACTATTCATTCACTGATGTTAGAAAATAATAAAGTATCTTTATATATATATGATGATAACATTGGCATCAGACTAAAATTATGACTGTCACTGTCTGACATCACTGACATCTGACACTAGATGACAGGCCAGCCAAGAGTATGTTCCAATAATAACCACTCCTAACCGCTACTAACCTGAATTTTTGACAACGGTTACCTGAAATATATATTATGGTTCGTAACGTTTGAATAAGACAATTGACTTGATTTTCAAGTGTGTCATTTAGAAAAGTCCATTATTAAATTATTTTTTGAGTGGAAACTAGAAATCATATACTGTGACCGTACATTTTCTAATTAATCGATCTCGTAATAAGTGAATACTGAAGTTGGTCGCTTCTTTTTAAGAATTTCAAGCGAAAAATTAAAGTCAGAAAAGGTTCTAGCGTAGGCAAATTTCATAAAGTGACCTTGAAATATTAATACATTGACTCGTTACTTGAAAAAAATTGGTAACATTATCTACGATAATAATAATTATATAAATTTCACACAATAGGTTTTTTCAATACGCATTTCACTACACGGTACCTACACTACAAACCCTGGTTTGGTATTTCTAAAATCACTGCTACTGAAAACACGGTTAGATATGGAACACGATTTTCCGAACTAACGTCAAATACTAACCGACAATTTTCTTGTGGTGAGATGACGAATTTGGATTGGGAATATTTGAACGGGTACCTCGGTCACTTTTATATTGTTTTGAGAAAAACATAAAAACCATAGATTAGTTGTTGAGTAAAATTAATAGAAATATTGACAAAGGGCATTTTGTTCAAAAGTTGCCATTTTCTGGCAACTTTTGAACAAATACGTTTTGATCAAACATTATTTTACTGCATTATGAATGTATATTTGTATATCTATTAGGCTTTAAGGAAATAGGTATACAGGCATTCTATCAAAATAAATTATCTTCTCCAATAATAGGTAAAGAAACCATGGAACAGATTTAGGTATTGACCTAAATATGTTGTTGATTATTCAAATCAACATTTGGTGATTCAGCGAGCCAATTCACCAACGTGCGTTCATTCTGAAAAAAATTTTTAGTCACTGAGAATGCTTCATTTTTTTCTTCCAGTAAATCTGCCATTACATTCCAGAATTTTCTCTTCAAAGAAATCCTTTCTTCTTTACTGAAAATGCTCATATCTGATACCAGGCTTTTAACAAAGTATTGGTCATCTGGATTATCTATAACAAGTGAAAAATATCGGCCATTCGACCCTTATTGGCAGCTGAACCTATGAAGGTATATTATAATTATGATCTTCTGCTTTTATTTTGTAAGTATAATCGCTCAAATCAGGTGGATCATTTTTATGCTTTTTAGCTAAGTATCCAGAGATATATTCTAAAGAGTCCTCTGTTATTTCTGGAATATTTGTATTTGAAGTTGAAGGAATGTTAGTAGAAATATCAGAACTACTAGATGAAAAGGAGCTACTGCAAATTGATCCTATTGTCTGCTCTCAAATCGTATCTGCGTTAATTTCAATTTTCACCTTTTTCTTGACTTTTGGAGTAATATATTCTTCTATTGTCGGTTCTTCAGTATTTACTGCAGCCTGGAGGACGATAGAATTTTTTCCCAGAATGATCATTCTGATTCGGTAAATTCAAAACACAAAAAAAAGTTCCACAATGACAAAAAACAAACCTCAAAACGGAAGAAAATATCGAAGTCTTATATGGCGTCTACTCGTTACACCAGTTCAAAAAATGTCCAAAAGCACAAAAAAATACGACATTTACAATAACAAACTCAATGTTTCAGATACCTAATTGGTATAGTTAAATAAAAATGCAATCGGAATAAACAAAAACGATGTAATACTGTCCGAAAATAATCCTCAAAAAATGTTAAAATAACACACAGTCTTATGACAGCTACTAAAAGTGTCACCAGTGTTACGTCACATCTGCTCTGCGCTTGTTTAACGTGGCGATATATGTAAGTAAGCAATCCTGTATGTCCATAATCGTTGATATATAATGGGCACATTTTAAAAACATTATCAGGAATGCGTTAACTTGAAAATATTTTACTTTTCGCCAACCTCGACCAAACATCAAATTTTGAATGAATCTAATAACTTTATTGCAAGTATACAAGCTGATCCAAATGAGGTGTACGTCATTGATACATTTATTATTATTGGTTAAACGAAATCTTTCAACTAGATAAACAAATGGCAAGTTCTTTATGATTATGACAATAACTAGGCCCATTACTCTACTGAGACCACTTAAATGAATATGTAAATCAAATGAAACTTACCAGTACAATTAACAGATACAAGAGACCGAATAGACAAATGAATTGCCACATTTCACCGATTCACATGGCTTCACGAAAAAAAGACGACAATCCTTATAGTATAATTCTTAAAGTATAATAATCCTTACTTTTTTAATTCGTATCGAAATGTTATTCTAAAGTAGCAATTTCATTGAAAAAAAAAGAATACGTGACGTACATAGTTAATTGCATCTACCCGCGTCAATTAAGTCGGGTCACTAGGGTGCCGACACTAATAAGGTCTCGTGTCAAAAAACGATACATTTTTACAATGAAATCCTCAAAATACAAGTTTGGTCATTTATACATACTCTGTTTATATATTCGAACATTGTGTCTCCAATAATCAGTCAATATAATTATAAAAATTCCCTTTATAGATAATAATTTTCAGTTCAACCTACTGAAATTGTAAAAAAGTTCGGTAACAAACTTCCTTATTGAAAGACCCTAACAGTACCTATTTCCATTCACCCTGGAAAACCATACTCGTTACGAAAAAACTCTTTCATTTATTTAACACTTCAAAATATTATGTATAACACTGCGAAATATTATAAGAATTCTGTTGAGGGCTTCCCGTAATTGAAAACATGTATCTAAAATAAAATATTTTTCAAAAAATAAAGAAAAATTCCGGATAAGATAATAACTACTCAAGGGAGTAGATGCATGTTGCATGTACCCTTCTCAAGTTCGTAGTTTCAAAGAAAATTAAATTAGAAATATCAGTGACAGAATTCTTGTTGAATTTCATGAATTGCGAATCAGTTTTATATTCGGCGCAGGACGTCCCATGTCCCATCGTAGTACGACATCCTATTTCATTACACCAGGAGTGTATGCTTTTTAGCGCGCTGATCTCTGCTGACGATCAAATGAAAATCGAGAACTAAATGCATGTTTTCAGTGCAGTTTCACTTGAGATTAGTCTAGGTATTCAGTGGAAATTCAAACAAATATTTCTTCATTTCAAACCAAATTGTTTAAATTCATAACTGATATTTATACACTCAATCTTCTATTTTTATATTCACGAAAACTGACTATTTAAAATATCATTTTCTTTCAGAAAAAAATATCTACAGGTGTTTCCAATGGAAAAAAAAAACATTTCACTTGAAAAGCCAAAAATGCGTTAGGTAGATACTCATCTTTTTTTATTTCTCGAATCTAAGAGTTTGAAACATGGTACTAGTTTTACAATTTAAATTATCTATATAGCCAGTAATAATAAATTTGTCAATTTAATTTGGATAAACCAGTATATTTACACTTTATGTTAACGTCTAAGTGATAGTAAACACGGCCATATTACACCATTTTGATTTTATTGCAACTTGGTCAAAGATTTGAGTAGAAAGTATAATCTACTTTCTGATTTTGGCATTTTATCCGCATAAGGTTCACAATCAGTTTTCAGGAAAAGTTGCACATCACCCTCAATTAATTTTCCTTTTCTTCTTGAAAAAAATAATCATTTCATCAAATTTTTTTAATGTTTCGTTGGTTTGTTCCGTTTTGATTCAATAATGAAAGATTTGAGAAAAGTACAAAAAACCTGAAAAGGCTCCCAGAATCTTTTACCTAGTCAATCAAATTGTAAATAATCAACCCTAGAAAATACTTACCCGGGTATTGTAAAATTAAAGAAATTTTGTTCCAAGCCTGATTTTTAAAAGCTTTGTATTTGTACCTAACATCATTTTTATTATATAAAACCGAAAATTTTGAAACTTGTTCAATTATTCTTTATTTGCCTTAAATCTTCTCGTACGTGCCTATTATGGCGTTAGCGTACCACTAAATCACTCTCTTCTATTGTCTAAGGTCAAACAGATTGCAATGTATGCAACATACAATGACGCTCTAATCCAGTTGGTAGATTAGAGAATAATATAGAAGAAACAAATATGCCAGATTTTCCTGATAATAACCATACAATTCCCCACAAAAATGGTCTTGTGCTCACTGTTAAAAAAAATGTATTTCTATTCATAGTGTAGATACCTATATTCCCATTTTTCTCAACACCACCGGTGTGAACTACTGGAAACGTTTTTTTTAAAGGTGAATCCAAAATCCAAAAATTTGTAGTATACTACCCCTACGGATAAAACGTATTAAAAATTATAAAACCTCTATATAGAATCAAAAAAATGTATCTTCGAAAATTACTTTGAATTCATCAAAATATTAGAACACCAATAGACATACTGCCACCAAATTGTTTCCTAAATCTCTGTAAACAACTGTAATTTTTTATTGATTAGTATTACTTTGTAGCATAACACACGTGTTAGGTCACTTAGGTATATCTTATTTTATACACAATCGTTATGCACTACAATTACTGTCTTTATATCTGTCTCTTCGTTAGTGTTTTATTCTTATTTTCTGTATTTTTGTGGGTCAATTAATTAAAGAAAAAACCTAGTGAACGAAACTGGATCCTTCTATATGCAAGAAAAATGATGTACTACTTGATCGATTTTCAAAATTGTATGTTTTTTAGCCTCAACTGGGAATGCCATGAAGAACTGAGGAAACTGGCTAGTTATATTATATATGTGACAACGGCTGTTGAGTGTGCAATACACAGATCAACTCCATATAAAGGCCCTGAAACAGCTGTGGGGATACCGAAGTCTTTGGTACTGAACCAGAACGAAAAGTGGGTCTATAAAAAACATCGAAACTACTGGAAAAACATACCATCTTCACAAAGGAACCATCTGAGAAGAGAAGCGAAAGACTGCTTCAATGAAGCAGGGATCAACTCAGAACAATCACAGGGCTACTCACTGGTCATAGGGCTGTACAAAGGAGGCATTAGCTGCAGGCAATGCAACAAAGGGACAGAGACGGCTTGCCATATTTTATGCAAATGTGAGGCATTGAATCACAAGAGGCAAACAATTTACAGGCAACCTAAATTATGTGACATGCATCCAACCGATGTACAGATTAGTACAGGGCACAAGATTGTTGAAATGTGGTTTCATGAAAAATATGGGAAAAAAAACGCAATACGCCCATAAGACTGCTTTGTTTTCCGGAGACTTGGGAATAACGTACAAATCAGACAACTGAAAAAAATGTATGACTATGAAAAATTTTCATTATGTATAGCATATTGAATTAGCCTAGTGCCATTGAAAGTATTCTTTGAGTATATTAAGTAAATGCTTTATTGGACTAATTACCATATTTAATCGCCCTCATATGAAAACTCAACTTTCAGAGTAATCCGCATAAAAAATGATCAGTGGTCCAAGGACACTGACAAATACTAGATGATTCCACTGCAATTTTTGAAAGCACAGAATAATTTTGAGTATTTAGATAACATGTTCTTACATTTGTGTATGATATTTGATAAATAAATGAAAGTGTTATCAACAAAATTATAACACTAGTTGTTTTTATGTCCTGAAAAAAAAATTGAAGTGACTTATCTGTTTTTTAAACTAGACGACTTGAATATGGAATCGTATTTACTTTTACTAGTTATAAATTTCATAAAATACAAGCAAAGACATTCAATTTAATTTGACATATTAAATTAGTCAACAATCTGAAAATTGAGCTGTTAAATGTTCAACATTTTCTAAAATCTTCTTTCGACCTATGATTTGTATAACAATAAAAGTGACCACATTCCTACACATTCATCAGTAGTTGGACCAGACTGAAATTGAATCTATGAAAGTTTCCTGTTTACATGTGCGAGACAACTATTTACAGTTGTAATAGTCCGAAAGTAAATAGAAGCGATCCTAGATTCGTTTTCATTGTGTTGATCTTATTGGTTCATTTCATCTCAGATACAAACTGGATTTTTATTTGAGAAAACAATTTTCAAAGCCCTTCATCCAATAGTTTTTACATTCAACTGATGGCAGTGATGTATTTGATTTTGGTTATCTGATGCATAATAAAACTTTCAACAAACTCATCAGGTTAATAAAATTTTTGATGTGTCTACAAAATGATTAAAATTCTCAATCTGCTTATTGTATATACAACTCTATTAATCTGTAAAACACTATACCTTATAGTTAATCCAGAAATTGCATTGTATTTTGTTGACCTACTAATTGTATATGGAAGATTTGAATAAAAAATTTACCCACTACTACATATATTCTTAGAATTCATGTGAGAATTTGACACTTTACTTAATAACTAATTCACAAATGACAATCTATATGGATAATTTGAAAAATAGTTCAATCTATCGAGCCAGTGCTTCAAGTTCTTTAATTTCCTTATCAGATGCTATCTTCTTTTCCTCAGCTAATTTGGCATCACGTATTGCTTTCAATTTTGCATCTTCCACCCTGAAGGCAGCTTCTTTCTTAGATAATCTATTTTGATGAAAGAGCCCATATAGGACTCCAGCTCCTAGAAAACTCCATCTTCCAAACTATAAAACCATAATTGAGGTTAGGACGGATTATGTAATTATATCAAGGAAGATTTCAATAATGTAACAGGATAATACGAAATTTCACATATTCACCTTGATTAGTGGAGACACATTGACTGGTGCGGGTAAAGCGGACATCTTAAAGAAATATTATTGAAAATTTGGATAAAAAAATACCAAAAATTTGAGACAACCACAAATGTCAAATGTGATTTCGCTGATATCGATGTTGTCAGATAACCCTATGTCTCTGACAAAGAGAAGTGTCAGATGCCTTCAATGTTGCCAGAAAAGATAGTGTTTCAATTGCTAAAACCTTCAAGTTTAGTGGCCTCACAGATAAATGAATTCATCAACTTGAATTTTTATTAGATACTTGATGAGAATGTGATTAAGTAGAGTTATTTATTCATTTATACATTTATTTATTTGTGTCCAAACAGACGAAAGGTCTAATTACATGGATAATGGATATAAAATAAGCTTCACATCTCAATAATTATAATCATGAGAGTCAGTTGTGTACCTACTCAAAAACTTTGTGAGGTTGAATAGCAATGTACTCTATGTACTCTTTTATTGAATATGGTTGTGCAATGAAATCGATTATAATAAATAAATGTAAATTAGCTTATGGATGGAAAATTATATTCATGAACAGATGAAAATACTAAATATAATAAATATGTATATCGTATCAAACAGATGTATTCAAGAAATGACCTAATATTGCTCTACGAAATACTCCCTGAGGTAGAGTCCAATCCAAATCTACAAGCACACTACGTGTATTGGCCAGTCTTAGCATGGTCACGAGAGGGGATCTTTACGTCATAACCACCAACGGAATATTGAATGGATAAGTCCTCCGAGTTCTACGGGAATAGACATTGAATCTCAGTAATGACAGGTGCATTTATCCTGTTGTTTATTATATTATACAAAAAAACATCATGATGAGGGATCTCCTAGTTATATTTGAGTTATTTTGGTTGCATAAAATGTGTCTTCAAACATATTTTAGGCTAAATGGTGTTGGCCTAAGTGACATACACCGCCCGCTATTAGCGATGGAAGAACCCATTTTTACGCGGCAAATCATACTAGGGGAAAAATGGTTTGAATATTCCTTTAGATTCGTGATCAGAAATGCCAAATTGATATACGGTTACAATTTTTCCTAAAAAAATATCACCCCTGAAAAATCTAAGTTTGTCTCAATTTTCATGGAAGCACCCCCGTAACTTCCGTAATTATCAAGGTAGAATTATGAAACTCGTAGGATTGATGAAAATGCTGAAAATACACTTACAGGCTAAATGGTGTTGGCCTAAGTGATATACATTGCCCGCCAGTCGCGATAGAAGAACCCATTTTTACGGTAAATCATACTAGGGGGCAAAATAGGCTGAAAATTCCTTCAGATTCGTGATCGGGACCTCGAAATTACTCTAGGTGCGCCTATTTCCTGAAAAAATTTCAGCCCTGAAAAATCCAAATTTGTCTCACTTTTCGTGGAAGCACCCCCGTAACTTCCGTAAGTATCGACGAATGATGTGAATATTGAAAGTTCACTTATCGGCTCAATAGTGTTGACCCAACGCTATACACCAACCGCCACTCGCAATGGAACTGCTAACAAAAAACTTTGAAATATAATTCTACACCAATCAGAAATCTTAGTTTTTCATAAAATGAGTGGACATACTTGGAGACGGGCTGTAAATCAAATTATCTAATAGAACAATGCATTCAGGCCAGTCTCAAATTAGGTACCTAGGTACATTGTAGGTTAATGGACTGACACCTATCAGAAAACAACTACTTCTCGGCTAATACCACGAAGGGCGTTGGATATATCCGATTCAATTATTGGAATACACTTGCAGACCGGATTATGTTATTCACTTCTGCCCAGTACGAGGAACGCTACTTTGAAAGGAATTCGATTATCAATTATCGGAAATCATCGACTTCATGTCGATGATAGACACTACCTTGCACTGACGAGTGGCCCGAAACCGGTCTGCAAGTGTGTTCCAATAATTGAAAATCGATTCCGGCGGTTGTATCGCCAACAGCATATACAGGAATAACTTCAGTGGATAGTCCTGTACGGACACCTGTTGGATATAATCCAACACCCTTCGTGGTATTAGCCAGGGGAGTAGTTGTTTTCTGATAGGTGTCAGTCCATTAACCTACAGTGTAGGTAATTTGAGACTGGCCTGAACGAATTGTTCTTTAAGATTATTTAATTTACAGCCAGTCTCCAAGTATGCCCAGTCAATCTGTGAAGTTTTCTTCCTTATATGAGGAATTGGGCAAATTTTGGATATGCGGTTGGTTCACGGTCAGATATGGGGCATTGACAATCATGTTGTTTGTTATTCGCTTCTGCCTAGTTCGAGGAATGCTGCTCTGAAAGGAATTCGATTTTTAATTATCGGAAATCATCGACTTCATGTTGATGATAGACTATACCTTGCACTGACGAGTGGCCAAACAGCCCGAAAGAATATAGATAATAGAAAATTGACCTCTCAAAGTGCCGCCAAATGAGTATCTCTTCTAAAGGTATTCTGTGCCCAAGGGTTTTGATTGAAGAATGCTTAGAAGAATGCTTCTCTTGTCTAAGGAAGAATGTATCACTATCTGATGTTGATAATACGTTCGCCACTACTGTCTTCTTCTGAGTAATCACGGATACGATGATTCTCCCCATCATTGGATCGGAGGAATAAGAATTTCGAAGCAAAACTGCTTAAAACTAAATTGGATATGGCAGACCTTGTGAGTTTCGGTGAGTTCAGGGTAGCTAATAGCTACCGAATAGCTACAGAATCAATATCCAGTAAAAGTTTGTTCCATTCTTTCTGAAGTAATTTGAGATCCATAGGCAAATGACTTTTGGTTTGGAAAAACCAAATGGTTCAGGCTTCGACTGTTAAATCATCTATCATATTGGTGATGGAGATAAGAAGTATCATTTTCATCAATTGCGAAACATTTTTGATGGTCGTGAGCGTAGATCCAACCTCCCGTGATTCCCAAGTAATGTTGCTTGAGACCAAGACATATCAGGAAAATAGCCGTTGGTAACATTCTCCATTATATTACGTAGGTGATCATCAACATTTTCGAAGATATAGGTACTGATATACTTGACTTTTCCAGCAAGAAGAGCATCTTAAAGTATGCAGTAGCTTAGGAACGGCTAAACGGAAGTGTGGTGGTAATAATTATCTCCAAATCCTTCAATGCAATATCATTTCTAATGCATCAGTCACCCAAATACCAAAAGATACCCCTTTTGTCAGTTGTAACATCAAATTTCTGTCAATCATGTTGAATGCGTTTTTCAAATTCAACTTGAGGAAAATTTTTGATAACAAATTTGGATGGTGATGGAGTACCGAAACCAAATTTAAAAGAGACGAGAACAACCTAGTTAGGCCACTAACCGGCGATAGAAAGTACCGATGGCAATGGAACGTATTCCTCCGTCTTTTTTTTTTTTCGAGAGCACAAAGAAATGCACCATAAAGTATAGGCTAATCCTCTATCTTTCACAAATAATGATTCAACTCGGAAAATCGCTTGGATCCATTCTCGACCTAGCATTATCTTTCAAACTCTCAAAAATAACGGATTATTTCCCTCAACAATACTTACATTACAGAAAGTTTGAGATATTTTTTTAAATTAATTCATTTATTAATATTTCGCAGCGATACCAATACAAAATGTCACTTTGACACTTTTACTAGCATGAAAGCAGGGCCCTTTTACAGATGTCTAAGAATATCAACGTGTCACATCAAAGACATTATTTTTAAAATGTTACGAAAGTCAAATATAGATACTTATGTAGGTCTGAATGGTATAAGAAACACTAATAGAATGAATGAAAACTGTCTTTGATGTGTGTCGGAAAGTGACAGTTTACCCTCTTAGATATAAATGGAAACAATTTTTAGAGTTATCAGTTAGTTTTCTTCATCTCCTGAAGACGCAAATTTGGTTGGTAAATCGCGCTTCGAGAAGAGTATTGCAGTTCTGGTGTCTGGGAAAAGTGTTTGTTTTATATTCAGAGACTAGTGATAAAGGACTGCTACTGACAAGAACAAGGATGTACATTGCAGAGCATTTGAGGCCTGATTTTCGGCAACCACACATCCTTCCACAGTTTCCCTTGCATCTACAGAAAATTGATTTCATAAGTTCGAGGGGTGCTGTAGGCTTGAAAGTTTTTATTGGTATCTAAATTTCAAGTTTTTCCATGTTATAAGCTGCTGATATGTCGCAGTTTATAACATGCAAATTCTCTGCAATGGCGTCGCCATATATGAAATCTGAAGATTGGGGCTGGAAAGAGCATGGGAAAATTTGGATACCAAGCCAAATTTCCCCCCTATAAGATTACTCTGATGTCATATTGTATTGTAAAATGACCAGAATAAAGTTGAAGCGCTCAAAAGAAAGTTTAGATTTTTTTTATTTTCGATTTGACGATGAAAAGTAGTGAAGATAAAGTTGTAGACAATTCAATTTGCTACAAATAATATGCCATACAATTTTCTGTAGGGTTGCTAGTTTTTAAGATACAGCGCGAAAACCCTTTGCACCCCTTAAACCAAGATGGCAGTCGGGGGAAAAGGATTGCGACCCCACAAAATTGAACATACTAACACCCCCTACACATAAAAATTAATGAAATTGGGTCCTCTGAAAAACGCAACCCTAAATGGAACTTTTCAATGGACTATTACTTACTGTTATGTTTATTATCATTATTATCATTTACTAGTTGAATGGATTGGTCTATTCGATAACTGTTGAAAAAATCCTTAATTTTTACCCACATGCAATTTCGCTGCCTATATGTGGGATGTTTCTGTAAATAACTGATATTGACATACACGCCACCTTGTTTGTATTGAAGGAGATTCTTGGTGACCTCACTTCCACTTCCACGCTTTCCCATATATGGCGGTGATATCACCCAAGTCCTTATATAAATTTGTCTGATGGTGACTCATTTCGCGCTATAATTGTTTTCATTGATTTTGATAGTGGGATCAAAATTTTATCAAGTGCCAATTCAAAAATTGAAAATATCAATACAGTTATTTGTTATTATATATTTTATATATTTGTTCCTATTCGGTATACCTACCTATCTAATGAAAATGAACTGATCTGTTAATTATGGCCCTGCGTAAATCCTATAAATAAGAAGAGCAAATAATTATAAATACCTACCTATGATTCCGTGTTAGAAATCACACGTTGAAAATTATTTCGCAAACAATATGATTGTTTATTACTAGGTACATTATCAAGTGTTGAATTGAGTACATTGGCTAGTACCTAATTGATAATAAATAAATATTTAATAGGATTCAAAAGGAAATAACGTATGTTTTTTTTGGAAATATGAATAGTTGGAGTACATCAACTTATTATAACATTGTCTATAATGTAAGTGGATTAGACACCTAATTCAAGGAGCTAGAAAAAAAAGAGATACCATAGTCATTATAAAAACAGAAAACAGATTTGATATAGTGTTGATTATTATTATAATTACATAGATGTTAGCAGGAAGAGAACGTTTCAAAGAATATTCAATATCTGTAAATTACAGTTAGTTTTGGGCAGTGATGAAGTAACTTCTTCAGAATTTCGTGTATTTTCAAATTCTAGAAAAAGTTGAAATCTCGACAAAAAGTGGAGTGTGGTTCTTCTACGACTTCGAAGAATAGGGTTGAAAAAAAAATTGTATTTTTTTAGAATGTCTCGAGAGATTCGGTAGGTAGGTATAGGTACAATACAGTTTCAATATCTTTTTTGATACAGTATTTCGTAATAGAGGTAGGTTACCTACCTACTTTCCTACCATAAAAAGAAACAATCATGAATTGTAAGGGAAGCAGATGCTTCCCTGTAAGGGAAGCAGATGCTTCCCTGTAAGGGAAGCAGATGCTTCCCTTACAATTCATCTATGGATTTTATGAAGGAAAATTAGCTAAAAATGAATTGAATACGGGATATTTTCAGAAGAGATTAGTTTTTTCTCTATATACCAATGAGTCTTAAACCTTTCCTATGAAATATATCTACTGAAGTGGTGTTTTTTTTTCATATGCCTATTCCAAGATGATCTAAAAATACACGTATTCTTTCATGCAAGAATAATCTTCATGTTCTTGACCCTGCGGTAGGTATGCGGTATTCATGCCGAGAAACGCCCTACTTTATTTTATGTGAAATATCAGTTATTTCATATTCCCTGTACCTATGTAGCTGAAACCCAAAACTTTCAGACAATTTCTAATCCATTTATTCAATATTTTAAAAACAGATGCATCTCTAGTTCTTCGAAATTCAATAATTCAAATTAATAGAGAGGAAAGAGTCCAAAAGAAGGACACATATCGACCAACATCCAGCCGCCCCGTTCGCGTTTCGTTTTTCCGTTACTCATGTGACGGTAAACAGCCAATGAAATGTGTTGCTATTAGGCGTTGGTTGGTGACGTCACAATTCGTATAAATAGCAACCGCCATTTGAAAATCGCCAATTCGTTTGGAAAGCTGCATTACTAGCTCAACCGAACGTCAGTTCAATCCATTCTCATATTCATTTGTGGTGAATAACTAAACCCGACAAACAAAATGGTAAGTGCATATAATTTATTCGAATGCAATTTTATATAAAACGTTGTTGAGCTATGTACTTTTTTCTGAATCCAGTGACTTTTAATTTCGACGAACATACGTGGCCGGCTTTTTTGTCCGGCCATTTTGTTTGCCGGTATGTGTATTTTGTCCTCAAAGGTTCTGTTTCATATTTAATCGAATAAATATTTTTTGTTCAGCTTTGTCGGCCTCAAAATCGAATACTAATAAAGTGACGTTCCTATAAAATATTTTGTCAAATTTGACCGCACCCTTGATCGATTGAGGTTAATGCGAGCACATTAAATTATTCATTTCTAGAAATCGTAAACTAGAATAAATAGATAGTAATTTGAAATTGCTTACTCAAAACTTTCCAGAAACTAATCCAACTAGATTACTAACGAATGAATCGTCGATTTATGAAATAAAACCAACATGTAATGAGGAAGGAACATTTCATTCTCCAGTTGATTATCAGTAGGTCTGCTGTTTTCAAGAATTATTAAAAAGGAAAAAGTGTAGTTTTCAATTGGGAGGCTGCAACTTTACTTTTTTGAAGCTATAAGCATATTCGAACTTTGCACCCAAGAAACATGTCCTAATCATCCAGAGATTGGATATTTTCAATCATCAAAATTAATACTTGAGAACATCAGCAAATTGTTATATTAATTTACTCTTCAGTTCTGATATTTTATATGAAAGGCCAATATAGAATTGTTATACTTTCAATAAAATTTCATTAAAATGTGCCATAGTTTACAAAATTGTTTAATACTGTGAAGTACTTAACTCAAAATTATTCATTCCACTTCATAAGATTAAAACTAGTTATCATGAACTTGCTTCCTGTAAAATAACACGATAGTACTTCTAATTGACTTCTCATTTAAAGTAATGAGTAGAAGGCCAAAGTAAACATATTTTCAGGAGATAATTCTAGGAAACATAACTGCATGACAAGAGAAAAGGAGCATTTTGAGATCATTTTCATTTCTGACACGTTATTGAAATGTTTTCAATACTTGACAACTAATTTGAAAATCAATGCCAAATTTGGTAATTTCTAAAAAGTTTATATTCTTGAAAACAAACAGTTTTTGAATATTAATAAACTGAAGTTCAATTCAAAGGTCTCAATTTCAACTGATTAAAAATATTCTAACAAGAAGTAATACAAAAACCTTCTGATAATGCCAAAATCTTTTGATACCTTCATACAAAAGTCTTTGCTTTATACTCAATAACAGTTGAGATTTTAACAAAGCTTTCATATTTATAGAAACATCTGTACACAATGTATTTCATTTTCACTGTATGGCAAAATGGTAGTAGTACAAACATTATACAGTAGAGGTTCCATAATAATGTATTGAAATAAATTAATTTTGCAAATTTGTCCAAACTTTATAATCTGGTATATGATACTAGAAATAAGTTGATTCTTATTTATAGTAAGTATATAATTGAAGTATTGATTATTGAGATTGGGAACTTTTGAACAAATACATTCATATTTCGAATATATAAAGAGAAGGCAACATTAAGACTTCGCAGACTTTGATTTTTCAATGAATCCTTACACAATATTTGATGGTTTAATGACTGACTTGAACAAGTTTTTATTTTTGCGGAATAAAAACTTCACCAGTTGAGTTAATGACCTCCAAAACGATAGTCCATATTCTATTTTACTTCCAATTTTGTTCATAATAGAGCTGAATCAAGCTGATGGATCCAATATTCTCCTTTTATTTTTAAACTACGGAGTTATTGGTACCACTTGGAAGACGAGGGTTCTGTAATGTTAGCAAATCATAAATTTGAATTAATGCAGGCTCAAAAATTTCCACAAATTCTACTATTCAATTTCAATGTTGCTCAACTAAAATGTTGATAATGAATTACAATTTGGACTAGAAATTTTATATTATTTTTTTTTGTTTTAGCGTGAATGTATCTCAGTCCATGTTGGCCAAGCCGGAGTACAGATTGGAAATGCCTGTTGGGAACTTTACTGCCTTGAGCATGGCATCCAACCTGACGGTCAGATGCCATCTGACAAAACTGTAGGAGGTGGAGATGACAGTTTCAACACCTTCTTCAGCGAAACTGGTGCCGGCAAACACGTGCCAAGAGCAGTATTCGTAGACTTGGAACCCACTGTAGTAGATGAAGTAAGGACCGGCACATACCGTCAGTTGTTCCACCCAGAACAGCTTATCACAGGCAAAGAAGATGCTGCAAACAACTACGCTAGAGGACACTACACCATTGGAAAAGAAATCGTTGACTTGGTACTTGACAGGATCCGTAAATTGGCTGATCAATGTACCGGACTTCAAGGTTTTTTGATCTTCCACTCTTTCGGAGGTGGTACTGGTTCTGGATTCACTTCACTGTTGATGGAACGTCTTTCCGTTGATTATGGAAAGAAATCAAAATTGGAGTTTGCCATCTACCCAGCTCCTCAAGTATCCACTGCCGTTGTAGAACCATACAACTCCATCTTGACCACGCACACCACTCTTGAACACTCTGACTGTGCCTTCATGGTAGACAATGAGGCCATCTATGACATCTGCAGACGTAACTTGGACATTGAACGCCCAACATACACCAACTTGAACAGGCTCATTGGACAGATCGTTTCTTCCATCACTGCCTCTTTGAGGTTCGACGGTGCCCTCAACGTTGACTTGACAGAATTCCAAACGAACTTGGTTCCTTACCCTCGTATTCACTTCCCTCTGGTCACTTACGCCCCAGTAATCTCTGCCGAAAAAGCCTACCACGAACAATTGTCTGTTGCTGAGATCACGAATGCCTGCTTCGAGCCTGCAAACCAGATGGTGAAATGTGACCCCCGACATGGCAAATACATGGCTTGCTGCATGTTGTACAGAGGAGATGTCGTACCAAAGGATGTCAACGCTGCCATTGCCACCATCAAGACCAAGAGAACCATCCAGTTCGTCGACTGGTGTCCCACTGGATTCAAAGTTGGTATCAACTACCAACCTCCAACTGTTGTTCCAGGAGGTGATTTGGCTAAAGTACAACGAGCTGTTTGCATGTTGTCCAACACAACAGCCATCGCTGAGGCCTGGGCTCGTCTGGACCACAAATTTGATCTTATGTACGCCAAGCGTGCTTTCGTCCATTGGTACGTAGGAGAAGGTATGGAAGAAGGAGAGTTCTCCGAGGCCCGTGAAGATTTGGCCGCTCTTGAGAAGGATTATGAAGAAGTTGGCATGGACTCTGGAGAGGGCGAGGGTGAAGGAGCCGAAGAATATTAAATGGATTAAACGAAACACTGACATTTTTTTCAAAATTTCTCAATTTTCATGCTTTACCTCTATTCAAGAAACGATTTTTAAGTCTGATTTATGTTATTGATTAAAAACTTTTTTTACCTGCATTCTAGAGTTTGATTTTCCTTCTAGTTAATTAATTTTTTCTGTTGAAAATGGGATCACACAAGTTATTGATTTTTGATTATGAAAAGCCTAAATAATAAATCAAAATTCATAACTGAACTAGTTTACCAAAATTACTGATGTATCTCCTGAGTAAGTTTCGGAGTGGTTTCAGAAATTGTTACTGTGTAATATCTATTCAATAAAATGCTCTTGAAGTATGGAAGTGGATTATGTGAAATTAACTCGAAACTGGAAGAAAATTGAAAAAATTATGATACTTTGATTATAAGAATGAAGGGGTTATATTTTTAGGAGTGATTAATTTTTGGGAAAAAGTTTTTGGCTTTCTACTACATCTTGATACAAAAAAAGGATGAGGGAATCTTCCAAAGAAAGGAAGTTACTTATTTTCAAATTGATCCTTCCTTTGGAAGATTCCCTCATCCTTTTTTTGTATCAAGATGGAGTTGTAGAAAGCCAAAAACTTTCTCATAAATTATAAATTCCAAGTTTTTTTTGAAACTATATATTTTAGTGGAATTTGGTAATGTATAACATTTTTTCAGTACAATACTATAAACAGAACCTGGCTAGAAGGGAAAGCCCTTATCAAGAACTGCATCAAATATTTGATTTTGAAATTCATTGAAGTTGATTGTAGAATTTTGGATTCCTGCTTAGTAGTTATGTGAGAAAATACATTTGAAGAATTTCTAATTATTTAGGGTGTTTCCTCAATTTGTAGTTGATTAAATATGCAAACTGTCTTCATAGAATAATGAAGATATTCTGGAACACATCTTTGTTGTCTATAGAACTTCTTCACTTCATTTCTTATGCAAATTTAAATTTGCTGGTTCTGTCCTATAGATTTTAGGTATTCTTACAAGAGTAATCAAGGGGCAACAAATCTGGTGACCACGAGGGCCATAAATGCTGCCTTTTCTCGCAATTCAGTGCCACGGAAATTGTACAAACACCGTCCATCAACCAAGGCATAATTCGGAGTAGCCACCTTCCTGTTGGAATATAAAATTATCATCATACTATTGATTTTGATAAAATATTTTCTAAGGCTCTGGGATGAAAAAATACAGCACTAACTGGTAACTACACTGGCACTACAGTAACCAGATTTATCACCTCATATTTTTTTCAGATTTAGCAGAATTACAATCAACATTTTTTGGGTCATTGTCTTTCGTTTGGGTGCCTTTTCTGTTACAAACTGTTAAGACATTTGATTGCTTTGAATGTTTTCCGGCAAGACTCAATATGCCTTTGACATATTTTTTTGGATAGTTTCCTATCAATTAAATAAATTCTTATGGATTCCACGTTAGTAACATATCGATCAATTGATGAAAAAATGTCACTCAAAATTATCTGTGTAGCATTTGTATAAAAACATTTGGCTGTGTCAAGTTCAGTTGAATACTTTTTGGGTCAACTTTGTCATTACTTAAAAATATTTGATAAATCTATAGAGTTTTGCAGAATAACAATTTCTTTAGGATTATCAACAAAAACATTTCTACCACCTATACGGTTATGCAGACAGCATAACACTTAGCTGAGAAACCTTACCTCTATGTTTTATTTGTCTACTGAAGTTTACCGTATGGTATATTATTTGCAGAGTTAAATACAAATGCGTTTGCTCATGACACCCCCTCAATTTTCAGAGGAAATGGTATAATTCTGAAAAGTGTTACAGTTCTGGTGTTTAGGAGAAGTGATAGTTTTGGACTTAACTCTACGCCAGAGGAGACAGTGCTGTTTCCACGTGTCCCAGGTCTTATCAGTGGTACTAGACCAAGATAAATGTAACGTTTGAAGTCTTCTATCCTAATAGAACACGTGAGCAATTAGCTTAGGTGAGTCCCCATCAAAATCATGATGACAATATAACATCATCCCTAAAACACTATCACTGTTCTTCAAGAGATAATCTTTATTACAATATAAACACATCCATTCTAATCACAAATACTATCATATACGTTTATTTACTAGTTCATACCTATTTATTAATCTCATTAATTATTTCAAAAATTTTCAATATAGGAAGAAATATATTTTTATTATTATTTTATATTATTGCTACCAAGAAATTTGCTTAGCTTATGGAAGGAAACAAAATGTGATAACGGTCGGGGATAACTGTGTCAAATCTATTTTCAGGGCTGTTTGACCCTGGTCTGCAGGTTTTTATGTATGACTTTCCGTCTACAACTGCAGTAGACGTTATCAAGGGCGATGAGGAAATGATCAAAGTGCTTGAGTTGTTCTCAAAGTGGAAACTCAGTTTCACGTTTCACTGTACAATAGCTTCTTCTAAATTCTAAATAGTACTAAGTTGAATTCTAATGTTTTTTCACTAACTACATGATGACTAATAATCATACCAACATTACTTAAAATCTTCATTTAGTGGTTTTGTGAACTTCAACATCTTTAAATTAAGTGTATCAAATATGTTTATCATGGATTTTTATTAACTATCACCACACCAATACTGAAGCACCACGTCTTTTAGGTTCATTTTACGCCAGAGGTTCCAATTCAATCTCTCAAATTCCATCACATTTTTTCAGATGAATTTGAAAAATTTTGATCATTCACAAATTGTAATGAAATTCCATTATATTTTTTGACAAAAAAGGAGAATATAAACCATTTGAATAACACTATGGTTAAAATATAAATTTATTCAAACACAGAGAATACATAACTTCTTATGGAATAATAATGATGAAATATTTTTGACAACTTATACTTATTATAACTTACTACTAAGATTAAAGTATTTATTCAAACATAAATATTTGTAATCATACTACATAACAAAATATATCACAAGAGTCCACTGATATTTGAAATAAAATGTAAATAGCAAATATTTCATACATTATTACATATTATATTGAAACTGACTGACTCTGAAGTTACCGCATTAAAAGATTTTATTTGAAAGCGGTAATTTCCCTTCTATTTATGAAAATATTGAAGAGTATACATCAATTACGATTTACTTCAGAAAAAGATAAAAATATCCTAAGACGAAGGCTGTGCTAGTAAAAAGAGATATTTGGGGCATTAGCCTCATTTATGATATAGGTTAGATTAGGTCCAAAGCGAGTGGATCTATTCGACTCTCCACCGCAACCTTGCAAAGGTTTATTGTGGCTCACACTCGATAAAATAAACCCAACTTCTTAACGAAACCGATTAGTTTGTATGGTGAGTGGTCTTTCAGGTTAGATGGTAAGAGTACGGCTCTGTCAAACTCTAGAAACCTGATTCGGTCCCCAGCGGCGCAGGCACAAAGTATATGCTCTGTTGTTTTAACGTTAATAAGGTAGTCAGATATTCAAGGTGCAAGATTCCCACCTTGATACCCGCGACAACCTTCCCATATGAGGGTTTTTTCACGTCAGCTACACCTGACGATGCTTAGATTCAACCGTGTAGGGCTTTTTCGTCTCTGGTTTTGGTGAATCATCACTTGAGCGCAAACGTTTGCTAACCTGCTCATAGGGGGTTTGTTCCTCCATCTGAGACAGATTCTGCGTTCGCCGTTCAAGAATTTGGTGAAAGGCGGTTTCATAAGGTACCCCGCTCTTGAGGAGACAACTCAGTCGTTTACTGGCTGCACCACCAAACCTTTTTTTTTAGGTTCAGTAATTGGAGAGTTGAGAAGCTCTCACTCCTTATCTAAATTTATAGGGAGGTCAGTTGGAGTCGTAAGCTGGACATCCATCTTCTCTGTAGACTCGCTCCTGATCTAAATTTACAGGGAGGTAAGTGGAGTCGTAAGCTGGACACCCATCTCATCTGTAGACTCAGCGTCAGAAAGAATTTTTAAGTTGACTCTGTCCATAAAAGTCCCATGAGTAGCTAGGGAAAGAAGGTCAATCACGGCAGAGCCCCGGTATCTCGAAGGTTCCGTAGAGACAGCATTGGAATTCTAACTGTGACTTCATTGTTTGTTCTTGAATCAGCATGCCTTATACAGAAGAACAATGGTACCTTTACTTCTTAGTCAAACCACAATACTAGACAAGCTTGCCAATTAAAGGTTCCTATCCCAACAAGTAGTCAAATCAATAACTCAATTATATATAATGGAGTGAAAATGCACAAGTTACCTGAAATTTCAACAGAATGTGTCACGCTACCATCACTCAGAAGAAACTAGAAGGCAATTCTGGTCAAAATGGCTTACTATACATTAGATGAATTTTTTGAAGATAACTTTGATATATAGTCTTCATATAAGTATTTTTTTAAACGTTATTTATTTACTCAATTCAATTTTTACTCATGTACAAGCTTACATTTCAACATACTGTTTGAGTGTGTGTACAAAAAAATATGTTTTTCCGTTTACCAGCTGTCGCACCCTTACGAACGACAACCCTCGGAAGTCGAAACTTATGCGAGCTAACGCGTGATTTCTAAAACGGGTTGAACGATAGCAAGTAAAAATCGATCGTTCAGCCTGGGGGCTTTGACCACCGACCAACACGGCGGTCGATTTGGGTAAACAAAGTACCCACGTCGAACCGACCGGCAATGTATATATGTACCTAATAATTTATTAATATTTATAATTGTACATTACATTTAATCAAATAAATGTTGGTCGACAAGATGTACTTCTTATGACAGCACTGTCTGGTGTTGAATCATAAATGAGTTGTGTTTGGGCTCTAGTTTACAACTAGTTGCCTTGCAGTGAAAGCTGCAGAGAAAGACAGAAGACGAATGTCGTCAGCGGACGGTGTCTTGACTTTGTGACTGACTGCCTTAGGATTCTTGTTTATCTTTGATATTCAAGGATTGGGGTCTCTGTGGATCACATAGATGACGTAAGGGGAGATGTCGTCGCCCTTGTTTTCTCAGGATTGTTCTTTAAGGGCAGTTGAGTCTAGCCTACCACCACTGATGAGCCTTATTGATGTTCAATCATAAATGTGATGTGTTTTGACACCAGAAAATATCTTCTTCTCACGTCAAATTCACGACATAACTCTGTTCATTCCAACAACAGCATTAACAAAACATTCAAATAAAATCAAATATACTTTATTGTCAGAAGAAAATAAATCTTATAGACAGAGTATAAAAATACAAAGAACAGTACGAGTTAAAATATATAAATAAAATAGAACACATAAAAATATACATATACAAAGCAAGAAAATATTAGTTCTTGAGTGTATCAGGAGTTGAAAGTATCATTAAAATACTCATGAACTGAGTAATAGACCCCATCAACCAGAAGCATTTTGACCTATTTTCTGAATTTATTGTAAACATAGCTTTTTTTTATTTTAACTGGCAGGTGATTGAACAGTTTGATGCCATTGACTTCCACTCCGGCGTATGTATTTGTGGAGTTGTTTCCTGGCTTTGTCTGCAGGTGACGCAGTGGACATCCCACTGAATCAATTGCAGAAAGCGTTTATGACTAGCTGGAATTAATTTTGTTTGATCGGGATACTCAGACGGTTCACACCCTCTGAAGTGACCCGCCCGGTACTGATGATGGGGCAAGTACCCAGAAACCAGTCTATCGGTTGGTCAAACCGACCAAGTGAAATTAATTTCTGCTTTTCATATGCAGACAGTCACTTTCAACGAATCTTACAAATGGAAGACGTTGCAGAGGTGCCTGATGGTTTTACTTCAGCTTTCTGTGCGGTATCAGCTGGGTTAGTTGTTGTCTTTCCATCAGGTATTTGCCACACATACCTACGAAGTCGTAGGTCCACATGAAAGACAAGGGGTAAGGTATTTTTTACCTGAACTTTGGGTTCTTCTGTGCAACCTATGTTTTGTCAATAAGAAATATGTTCTCCAACAACAAAGTACACTAGTTGATTGAAACTCTATTATAAAATTAGTTTAGATCATCTCCTGATGACCTAAACTTGGTTTAACAAAAAACTTTGAGAAAAGTTTGACGGTTCTTTCACAGTACTCAACATAATCTATACATTTTAAAATTTTTAAAATAAATAATCAAATAAAAATTATCGATTGCTCCCATCACAAAATTTTCAATTCATCAGGACTGATTGCCACTGTTAATTTTTCATTGACACTCATCTTCTTTTCATTCTGATAATGAATAGGTAGTCTTACAATAAAACTTTTTGGCAAACAAGTCTCAGACGTGCATGTAACCAAGTTGAATATAAAATCTACATTGTTCTCTTTGGCATGTTCACTCACTGGAACGCTAATAACTAAATCTATATTCTTTAGGTCTGTACCATTCAATGGTACCGCTGACCACGTTATATCAGGTAGGTCCACCAACCAAGTTTGTGGAGCACCTTCCGTCAGGCCCAGCCCATTTTCAAAGACTAGGTCCATGCTCACTATCAGCTTTCCACCTTCACAACTGACTTGGAGAGGATTTCTGATAATTATGTCATACTTCGATTTATCCAAAGCTGTTACTTTATCACAAGCCTTACGCAGAGTCATCGTCTCAATCTTATTCACATTTTGGTTAGAATCTAAATATAACACTTTGATCGAGTGGTTATTCGTGTCCGCTAAGTATAATTTCTTGTTATCGTAACTAACACAAAGTCCTGCTGGTTCCCGCAATCCAGTTGAGGAACCTCCCTTGATGTCTACAGAAGGTATGGTTATAGAAGTCACCATGTTTTCAGCCACATCAACTTTCTTCAGTTTGTGGTTGTAAGTATCAGCTACGAAAAGTATTCTCTCATTTCGACTAATGGCCAGCCCAAGAACATGTTGGAGTTTCGCATCGAATAAAGCACCATCTTTGTCTCCAAAAGCAAACAGGTCCTGAAAATTAATTTCAATGGCGAACTATGTTAATTCACAAAAAAATTGTAATTCAATTTGAAGACTACAAAGTTTAGTTTTATTTATTGGTCAAATTAGTTACAATTGAGAGCTAAAAAACTGATATTTTAAAATTTGATACACATGAATAATAAACAAGTGTTGTATATTTACTTTTGGAGTATTTTGTTTAAACTTCACTATTCAATAAAAAAAAATCATATACAAATTGAGTGTATAATAAAATTTATAATAATGATATAATTGATTCATCAATCAAAGATCATACATTCACAGGTGCATAAAAATTAGTGAAAAAAAGAAGGTATTCTGCAAATGAATTGTTAATATAGGAAGGAAAGAGTTTTATTGACCTCGAATTACAATTTCTGTTACATTATAAAATATCTGCAATAACAAAATTTGCATAGGTACGTCCTACAGAATGTTGAGCTAGTGCACATGAATTTTTGTTTAATCTTATATCACTTTTGTGTGAAGTTATTCTGCTTGATAATGTTCTGGTAGTTGTTCCAATATAATTTAAATCACAATTATTACATGGTATATTATAAACAACGTTTAAATTTTTCAAATCAGGTGTAGAATATTTAACTGTGTTTTAATATTTCCAATAACTTTAATATTCTCTTTATAAATTTTTATATCCATTTCATTGTGAAAAACTTTAATTATTTCATTCTGTCTTCTATCTGACTAAAAGCATTATCATTTGTACTTTATATCTTACTGACAGTAGTAAAAATAATTTTGTTGAGTAATTTTTCTGGAAAAGAATTTTCTATTAGAATATTTTTCAATAACAGTAAATTTTTTGTTTTAGTGAGGGATGAAGTAGTTTTTTGATTCTATTTTTTAGACAGAGACAGAGAATTAGATTCATTTTCATGGATTTTTCTCTTAAAGAATCTTATATTTCTCTCAAAAGAGATCCCACCTCAACCATTCAACAAAAAGCAAATAACTTGATATCTGAATTGAAGAAATCTAAAATAATATCTTATGAAACAGCAAATAAATTCATGATTTATAACTCAGTAACACCAAAATATTACGGATTAGGTACCTAAAATTCATAAACCTACACTCAAACTCAGACCAATCATTTCATCCATTGATGCTCCAAATGATATAGAAAAAAAATGTTAAATTACCCAAAACACATTTCTTGAAATAACTACATTCATTTTTAATTGAAGTTACTTTTCATTTGAAGGAAATTATTATAAACATATCTTAGGTTCACCACAATACTTTACAATACACCACAATACTTTATGGATGATCTCTTTAATGAAGTACTTACCCAACGTAGTCTCAAAGTTCCGTTTCTTAAAAAAATTGTTGATGAAGTCATTTGTGTTGTCCGGAAGGATAAATCACAAGAAATACTTAAACAAGTAAACAGTTATAACCCCAAATTACAATTCACTATAGAACTGGAAGATAACAATACTATCCCTTTCTTAGATACAAAAATTATTCGCAGAGATGACAATTCATTAATAACAGATTGGTATATTGAACCAACAACTTCAGGGAGATTATTAATTACAATTCTTTTAATCAAAAAAAGGTGAAAATAAATCTAATTCCCTGTATAAAAAATAAAATCAAAAAACTAGTTCATCTAAAACAAAAAAATTTACTGTTATTATAAAATATTCGAATAGAAAATTCTTTTCCAGAAAAGTTTTTTTGATAAACTTACATATACTCATACCATGAGAGTGATTCAATCAATAGTAAGATATCAAGAAATATTAAATTTTTCAACATTATAAAATCCTATTTCAAGAAAGAAATTTCTCAATTCATTTTTGAATAGAATATCATTCACATTTGATACCAATATGTTTTGATGAATATTCACAGACTGATATTTTGAATAGGGTTGTCCAAGTCTCTCTTTATTCCTAGTATTATACAGATGAGTATCCTCATTCCTCACTAGTTCATTTTGGTTTCTTTTAATGTATGTATCATTGATACAATATGCTTTGAAGAAGTTTCACAGACTGATAACCTAGAAAAGGGTTGTCGAGGTCTTTCTTTATTCCTAGTATTATACATACGAGTATCCTCATCAGTTCATTTTGGTTTCTTTAAATGTACATAATCAGCTCAATCATATTCAAACATAGAAGGGTTAGTATTTGAAGTTATTTGAATAAAGGTTTACATGTTGTAGTTGGATGAATGAGATGCAACAAATGTCCTTTCATACATACATTATACCCACTGTTGCCACAGCTACCCCGTACGGGGTAGTTCTACCCCTCTTGAACTTAATTTTACCCTCTCACTCCCCTCAAGTAAATCTACCCCGCTCAGATATAAAGCAAAAGAATGTAAAATGAAAATTGAAAAAATTAACAAATATTTGAGGTTTGATTTTGAATCTACCGCGTTACACGAGCCTAGTACCCGTGGCAAAGTTGGCGTAGACTGAGTGTCTGTCACCGCTGGCGGTGGTTCCTTGGGTTGTGTCTTACTGAAACTTTTACACCGATAGTTCTGATATGTGACTGAGTACTCAGTTACACTACAATGCTCTTCCAATGATACCGAGTGCCGTGATCATGATCTGTGCGTGTGAAATGTTATTTGATGTTTGTGACATGACATTCGACATTTTTATTATAAACTAGGATTTAGATTTAAAATAATAAACAAACGTCAAACAGTTGTAGAAAAGAGAAGAATAGTGGAATTGCGTAACAAATACTCTAAACAAATAACTAAATATAGACAAGAACAACGGCCAATTTTCTTTTTCAACAAAACTTGGTATAACACTCACGACACAGTTACGAAAGGGTGGACTGATGGTTCGAGAATGTGTACACCTAGCAAGCCTGCAAATAAAGGATCGCGACTAATCATTGTTCATTGCGGAGGAAGTAAAGGATGGGTTCGAATTCTTGGAAGTGATATGGAAAAAATCTTGACGACTGCAATGTTGACTATGGTAGCTAATATTTTCGAGAAATGGTTTGGAAACACATTGATCCCAAATTTGGATTCGATGACATGTGACTTATGTTTTTGATTACGATCGTTAAATTGATCATAGAACAAAGAACGACAATCATAGGTATACGTCAATGTATCACTGTGATTGGTGTCATCAAGTGAATGTGGATCCACCCCGGTTCTACCTCGATGAAAAGATAGCTTGTGGCAACACTGACTATACCATGCCCTTTCATAAACCATATCATACACCAAACACAAGTGGCCTCCAGATATTGAAAAAAGAGAACCATTTTTTTCAAGAATAACATTTTTCAACTATTAAGGTACTTTTTGAAATCAAAATACGTACATTAGGATTTCGAGCTCCACCTACAACTGGGGTGACTTTTCCGTCAATTAAATGAAGTCTTCTAACACTGGAACTCTCGCTATCAGCAATGTAAACTTCCTTAGTTGTGTGACAAATGGCTAGACCTGAAGGCTGTGCAAAACCAGCTGCATGGGGATAGCTGTTATTCCTATTTTCTTCTTTTCCAGAACCTGCAATATTTATACAAGTGCCAGCTGGGTATTTTTTGCACTTCCACCAGACTGTGTCTTCAAGAAATAACGCCCAAATTTGATGAGTGCCAGCCATGGCAATGATCAGAACATTACGAACTGGTGGATTGCCGTCAGGGTGGAAAGTTAAATCCATATCAGGTGTTCTGTAGATGCACAAGTCCCATGGTGAAGATATTGCTTGACTCGTCCAGAGTTTACCGCCATGAAGGTCCTGCCCTTGTACCCCAGTTCCTATAATGCAAGATATAAATTGTCAGCTTTATGAAATACAGAGTGTAACATAAGTACGTTAAAATAATCAAGTGACGTATTCCTGAGACAATTAAAAAAAAAAGTCTATATGAACTTGTGTCCGAAAATGCTACGTTTCGGAGATATGGGGTGTTGAAATTGAATTTTTTTGTTTGCTTTTTGAAAATAACTCTTGCAAAAAATAATTTATTTGCACGAAATTCGGTACCCGGCGTTTTTTTGACGTGGGAAATCAGAATTTCCTATTAATTTTCATGTAACATCTAGAGGGTACGCTGTCATTATTTATTTCAAATTGCCCCAACTTTTTTGACAGTAAACTTTTGGTACTTTTCATGAAAAAACCTAATTCTCACACCTTTTTGCAAGTAAAAAAGGTACACCTTCTCAACAACGCTGAAGTTGATCGTTTTCGAGATATTTACAATTTTTTATATCGATGCATATTACTTTATAGCTAAATTTGATTTCAATAATTTTTGTCACTCTCCGCTTGCAAATCAAGTTAATTAAATCGAGTAGGCTATGAAAGTTTGTTTATAAAAATAGAAGTTCGCTGTCACATTTTTAACTATTAATTATATGGTTATGGATATGGTTTTGCATGATAGATGCATCTGGCCTCAAGCGAGGCCAGACGTATCTATCAGGAAAAGTATCCCCAACATTTGCGAATCTTTTCCGGCGACTTTCCGAATCTGGAACCTTTGAAACAAATTCTACAGTAGGACGGCCACGGACTACAAGAACTGTAGAATTGGAGGAGACGGTTCTCTAAGACATTAGTGAACATCCAGAGACAAGTACAAGAAAAATTAGTCAAACTTTAAATGTGAGTCACATGACGGTTTATAGAATTTTAAAAGAACAGCAATTATATCCTTATCATATTCAGCGTGTCCAGGCACCTACGCTACGTGATTTCCAACCACGTATCGAATTTGCTCAAGCTTCAAAGAAAAGTCGAACAACATCCGCAAATTTTATCGAAAATCCTCTTCACAGATGGGACTAATTTTTTAGAAATGGTATCATTAACTTCCATAACAACCACATCTTGGCGGGAGATAACCCACATGCGATAACGCAAACTCATTTCCGAGACAGAGTATGGGTAGGCATAATTGGGGATTATTCAATTGAGTCCTATTTTCTCCCCTTACGTTTGAATGGAGATGCTTACCTACATACACCGGACCTCAATCCCGTCTATTTTTTCTTTTGGGGACACCTAAAATCACTAGTTTATGCTAGCCCCATTGAAAACGAGGAAATGTTGAGGGATCGCATCATAGCTTGCTGCGAAACGATAAGAAACACTCCTGGCATTTTTCAACGGGTGCGGAATTTGTTTCGTTCAATTTTTATATGTTTATTTTCCTAATAAATAAAATAGAACTTCTCCGAATTGTTTTTTTACTCCGAAATGTAGCACTTTCTAACTGAATAATTAAACCTGACAAATTTTTTAAAATTTGGATTGAATAAGCTGTTCGATAATGCTCAGTTTAGAAGAAGTCTGTACGGGTATACTGCGTATAAAGTTTGATGAAAATAACTAAAATTACCAAAAACTTATGATAAAAACCTACCATGTTTTGAAAAATTTCAACAATCCGTATTTCAAAAACGAATCATTCTTCGTTAAACATTTTATGGGAAAAAGTTGTTTATTTTGACGAGATCCACCACATACTTGGTTTTTGTTATGTTCTCAGCAATTTCACTTAGCGCCCTAGGAGCTGAGTAATATGCATCGATATAGAAAATGGTAAATATCTCGAAAACGATCACCTCCAGCGTTGTTGAGGAGGCGTACCTTTTTTACTTGGAAAAGGTGTGGGAATTAGGTTTTTTCATGAAAAGTACCAAAAGTTTACTGTCAAAAAAGATAGAGCAATTGGAAATAAATAATGACAGCGTACGCAGCGCCCTCTAGATGTTACACGTCAAAAAAACCCCGGGTACCGAATTTCGTGCAAATAACTTATTGAATAAAATTCAATTTCAACACTCCGTATCCCCGAAACGAAGCATTTTCGGACACAAGTTCATATAGACTTTTTTTCTTAAAATTGTCTCAGAAATACGTCACTTGAATATTTTAACGTACTTATGTTACACCCTGTATATGGGAGCTAAAGAAAACAGAATCCGGGCAAGCAGGACAGGGTCGAATGGAACCTGAAATACCAAACGTTTGATTTGCTGCTGCAACAGACATCATCAGTGGTAAACGAACACACCACTGTGTGTTCGGAACATTTGGTACTTCAGGTTCCAGGCCAACTAGCCTAGATTTTCTAGGCTAGTTGGCCTGTAAATCCGACCGTGAAAGCCGATGGTTTTATATTATATAATGGTTGTTTGACAACTAGCTTGTAACGGTTTAAATTTCTGAATTCAGAAGAATTAGTAGAGCCGCCCTGTAAGTTCGTTATTTTATCAGCATATTGCTGGGATGGTGGGTTGTCTAGTAAGCAGGAGTAAATAAAACCGAGGATATTTTCACGGTCAGGACTTAAAAACGATTCAGATTAGTACCTATCGTAAAGCCGACACGAAATCAAGGCTCTAGCTAGGAACCGTCCGAAACCTAAAAACATATAAGGTCAGTCGAATTAATCAATTCAATATTTTCATTCTCCATTCTTGAAATATCGGTAGAGAATTCCATAACACATGCAGGTTTTTTGGACAAGAATAATAAGATCACCTATGAAAGAGACCTTTTATTCATTTTTTTGGTGGTAAAAAAAAGCTTTCAAGGCATATTATTATTATTATTATTTATCTGGTAATGGGAGAAATTATTCGGAAAAGCTATAGTTGCATCATACATATCATTCTTAAAGATATGAAGAGACACTCTAGAAAGTACCAACGGAGAGCCGTAGCAAGTATATAAAAAAAAAATATCAAAAATGATAACCCGTGAGTAGAAGCCCTGATATTGTCGATATATTTTGGAGCGGTCTGAGTACTGAAATCTACAGTTCATTCCTAAAATTAGAGGATAGTTTTAAGCATTTTCCTTTTTTCTATGCACCTAGGACAGCTGTTGACGGGGGTAATAATTATCGAGTTTGATTGAAGTTAATCGAAAAGTAGATTCTGGATAAATTAAGATTCAGGCAGTTAATTTTAACTGCTCATTTGTTCCCTCATTTTCAATTTACGTAAAAGTCTCTCTATCAGTTCAATACTCGAATCTTTTGATTTGATATTGTTCCGAAGTAAGAGTTCTCCAGTAGTAATATCGTGATCAAAACGGCCTATAGCGGCGTCTTAATATCTTTACTGTCAACGTTTTTTTGAATTAAGTATTGGTTCTTTAAACTTGATGTATATATATTTGCCTGCTTTTTTACATTAGTTTGTTGCAAATAACATATGAAAATCAATTTTTGAGTTATTACACAGTTGGTAGTGAAGTTTGTAAATATTTCTTTCTATATATCAATTTAATATAAATTTCAAGCTTGGAGCTTCGTTGTTGACTTTTTGGTTATTTCTCCACCTTTCCTGTTAAATCCGTTCAACTGGCGCCCCAGGGCTTACTTTTTTTTCCATCTATTTCAACAGTAAAAAAAATATATTTTCCTTACCCACGTCCAGCCCCGACAATAATCGACTAGCCTGGGCCAAACTACTTCTTGGTAATTACATAAATACCAAGGTAGGTTATAAGCTATGGGCCAAATTTAATTTCTCCTAGGGTGTATACACATGTAGGCCGAAAAAGAAGAAATTGAAAACAAGAAAGGGGTATATTTTCAGGAGAGATGAATTTTGGGTAAGAAAGGTTTTGGCTTTCTACTTCTCCATCTTTATATTTAAAAAAAATGTGGGAATCTTCCAAAGAACTTGCAGACACATACTGGAAGAAAAAACCCTTTCAAGACAATATTGGATTACACAAAATAAAAAATATTTTTGAAACAACTTTTATATGAACATTGAATTATACAAAAACCAGTCGTTATGGAATTGATTCAGATATCATTCACAGGATTGCTACACAATACCTAAAACAACCAAGAATTATTAACTCTTGTATTTTCCTGATCCAATTCAAACCACAAACGTCTATATCTCTTTCAATGCAGTACCAATTATCTCTTTCGAAAATAAACTCTAGGCAACCTTGGAAATGATCTCTAATCAAACAATAACTTTTTGAATTCGTTTCTCAATCAAGTTTTCAATTTTTCTAACATTATAAATTTTCAAAAGATTTTAATCTGGAAGAGTTTCCTTTTTTCAAAAAAAATCCAGGAGGATCACAGCTTTATATTCTTCATAGTAACAATTGTTGGAGTTAACCTCATTCAGAATAATTATTTGTAGAAATTCCACTTTTTCAAACTTACCCGCAACAGTGTCAACTTTCAATTTCTTCAGATCTATTCTTCTAATCGCATGATTTTCTGTGTCAGCAACAAATAAAATATCTTTATTCAGAAAAACAAGTCCTTGGGGATTGTTGAATTCTGCTTCCTCTAAATTTCCATCTCTAAACCCAAGTTTCCTGCCTCCAATTTGTTGTATTATACTTCCATCATCCTTCAAGATCAGTATTCTATTATTACCAGTATCTGAGACTGCTAAGAGTTCATGATTATTTTCATCCAAGAAGTTGGTAATTTTTCCCGGAAATAAAAGTGGTCCTTTCAATTCTGGTAGAAAGTGATATGCTGATTTTAATGGTAACTGATGATTAGATATTAGGTTATTCTCCTTATAAAACTTCAGAGCATTCCGAATACAAACTCTAAGATCATCTTTATGACCTTCACCCGTGAACATTACAATAGGATTTGAATTGGGGCCTAAGATGAGCAAAGTTGGCCAGCATTGTACATCACAGTTTTTCCACATTTCTGAATTTGCATCGTTAACAACTGGATGATTGATATTGTAACGTTGCACGGCAGCTAAAATGTTGGAGGATATTTTTTCATTCTCAAATTTGGCACTATGAACACCAACCTGAAAGAATAAATAATTATAAAAGTAACTTCTGAAATTCTCAAATGAAGTCATACAACACAGTTTCTGAAAATCATTCTAAATCAGAAATTTACTTTGGAAATGCATATTGACAACATAAGCACAAAACTAATAGGTAATTCACAATATCAGACAAACAGTATCTATAAAAGAGATTCAATTAGTCATTCATCAACTAAGTCAATAAAGGCCACAATACTCACATGCCCACTGAATTTTTATAGCTCAAAAGTGTAATTTACTGCTTGGATAATGCTCTTTCTCAATAGTCATGCATATAATTGTTTGAAGAATATAATAACCTTTCACTACTATATTTACATTTTACAGTTCGTTTTATTCTTGAACATAATGAATACCTATTTACTCATTTTCAATGAAAACTAATTTGAAATATCTAATTTGTGATGAAGATGCGTCAAAAACATAATTTTTTCATACATTAGAAGTCCGAGTTAAAGGTGTAGTTATTGTGAAAATATTGTCGATACACAGGGTATCCAGTAGAAGCATAATATATCATAAGATTGCATAAAAAAAGTATTAAAAAAATGTAGGATTGAATGAGTATATGCTGAGTGATTCACCTGATGCTACCCTTGTACTCAGAGAGGTGACATGGTTGTTAAATCTTGTTTGACCATCAATATGAATTCCCAGAAGAGATCATGAATGCGAATTAAAAGATTATTATATTTGTTTTCTTTATACTGAAACAAAGAGAATTTGAGCGATACCAAGATTTCACATCTTTCATTTCTTGGGCTATAATCATTTTAAATTGATTCTCATTTCTTCCATGCCATGAAATTGTAGTGTCATCAGCAAAAAGTACCTATGAATTTTCCTAAAACAGGTGAATTCTTTAAATCATGTAGGTAGAGCCAAAACAGGATGGAACTAAGCACCGACACCTGAGGGACTCATGAACTGGTATTGAACAATTTTGAATGTTTATTTGAAATCTTTACACTTGTGACTATTATTTTAGGTTCATTGTGATTTCAACCTTTTACAATATATCCAATCAGAAATCAATGAATCATTATAATTGGCTGTTTGAATCTCAATATAAAGATTCACAACTTTTGTGTTAAAAAATAAAAATAAGCATAGCAATTTGACACATCAGGTTTACAGTTTTCTTTGTGTGGCAACTAATTTTGAACTTACCACTACTAGTCCATCTTCCACAGAAAACTCCTTTTCGATTTCCCGGAGATCGGGAATAATATGCATACAGTTGATACAGCAATAAGTGAAGAAGTCTAATACCACCACCTTTCCTTTAAGATGTTTTTTGAAAGACAGGGGTTCAGTTACATTAAACCACTCCAAGCCTTGAAAAAAATATTTGGCAAATTGTTTGAATAGGAAAGTTAATCCATACCTGGATTGAAATCTTCAACAGGAGCATATTTAACGTTTTTTAGGTAATCTTGCATTCCCAAATCTTTGTCCAATCGTTGTTCAATAAAGTTTTGTAATTTTACTTGGGAGTAGTACAAGTAATCTTCAACTGATTGCATACTGGACGTTCTGGAGAAACTGTTACGAATGTTTCGAATAATTTTCGAAAATAAACTCATGGAATGTTTAGGGAAACCTGAAAATTATCAATGAAAAATATTTGAGAACTAAGATTATTTGTTTACACTGTAAATTTAAAATTAATTCCAACAGACTGTCCACAAACCACTTACTCTACTCTAAGTGGTTTGTGAGACTGTCAAGTGTGGAACATCAGCCCTATTCGAGTTCGCACGATTGTAGGACAGTTCAAAATATTTATACAGTTAATTTTTCAGTGAAGACTAGCGCAAAACTTTCCAAGTCTCCACTGTGCGACTGCTTTTGACTGTTCGAATACCGTTCAGATAGCGAATCTGAATACTTGTTTACTATTTTGTGACAGTGTTGCCAGAAAAAAATCCTTCTACATCAATCAACAATATGTAACAAAATAAAATGTAAAACTACATATCTAAAGTTTTCGTAAACGTGTCTAGAGACAGTGTCATGTACATTCATTGTTTGCCTAGTGTGATCCAAAGCTTCACTCCCTCATAAAATACGACGAGCTGTCTCTGTCCCATTGCATGTAGCAATATTTCACAGCAACGTTTTATGCAGATGTCCTCTTGATGAACAGTGACCCCTTTATAAAGGTTATCCCATGTGTGTTCCCATGTGTGTTCTGCCAGTACTCTTTATGTTTCTTATAAATCCATTTCCTAATTTGGTTCCGTACCAAAGATTTTGGTACTCCTGCAGTTGGTTTAGGGCCTATATATGGAGTTGAGGATCCGTATATAGTCAATCTATTTCTGTTCGTTAGTTTCCTCAATTCCTCACGGCATTCCTAGACCAGTCTCTACGCCATTTTTGGCTTTGTCAGTGCCCCTAGTTCAACCTGACTGCCAATTTTGCCAAATCATCAAGGATGGATATAACCGACAATAACACGTGATAATAGTAAAATTGTTCTATCAAAATGTGTGTCGTTTTCGGACAACGTACCACGCGCTTCGCCCATTTGACGGTCGCCATAATCGTCCTACCGAAAGGACTATTCACAATGTGGTGGATAAATTTGAGTGCACTGGTTCAGTAAACAATTAACCAACACTTGTTCGTCGACGAAATGCAAGATATGCCAAAAACATCACCGCTGTCTGTGAGAGTGTGCAGGAGAATCTGAAGCAGTCGATTTCGCGTCCTCACAAGAACTCGACCTTTCGCAGACCACAACTTGGCAAATTTTGCCTTGTGTCTTGGGCCTGTTTTGCACCCATGCAAAATTCAACTGAACCAGGAACTGAAGGTAAACGACCATAGACAATGACGTGTGTTTGCTGAATGGGCTCTGGAGCAGTTGGCAACTGACCCTCAGCGATGAGGCCCATTTCTGGATGAATGGTTACGTGAACAAACAAAATTGTCGAAATTGGAACGATACCAATCCACATGAGATCCAAGAGGCGTCCAAGGCATCCTAATAAAGTCACCGTTTGGTGTGGATTTTGGACTGACGGCGTCATCTGTCCATATTTATGCGAAAACAACGTTGGCCATGCCATCACTGTCAATTGCGAGCACTATAAAGATTGATGGTTACCAACTTCTTTTAGCCTAAATTGGATGATCTGGACACTAAGGACGAGTGGTTTGAACAGGACGGCGTACAGAGCGGTAAAAGCACCTAAAACGTGGCCAAAACTAAATTCTCACTGTTTTGAATGTTATGGATAGAAATTGACCTATCGTGATATTCTTAATAAAATAAGATAAATCAATAATGAAGATGAAATAACATATTTTTTGTATTGAAAAAAGGTCTATTACAGGCAAAGAATAACATTATTACGAATAAATAAAATTACAAAAAATATGGATCTTATTACCATAGTCAACAGATTTCACTGCAACATAAGTTTTAATAAATGTTATTCCTGAAGAAGTCTGTAATCCAATTTAAAAAACTGCAAAGTCTCAGCACTAAATGGTTGCTTTGATTTGTTTTGTTTTCGTCTCATGCTACTAAGATATGGATCTAAAGTAAGCAAAAGTCGATTAAGTATACCTTCGTTGCACTCTCTTCTGGAAAACTTTCTAGAAAAGCTCTCTCTCTCTGTATTGTCGGAAGTGTTTATTTCGAGCTTCCGCAGCTTCTTCCGATAATTGTCCAATCGGTAACAAGGCATGAGCTATAACACTTGCTGAGTGGACCAACATTTCGTGTACTGGCTACACTGGCTAGCTCAACTAATGGCTATAGTGCGATGCAGAAAATAATGCGTCTGAGGGTATCGCCCCGAAAAAAAATCCTTCTGAAAATGATACGGCCCGTTTGAACTCTAGCCTGACCCAATGTTATGGTGAAGTGGTATCAGTTGTTCAAGACATTTCACTATTATGTCGGATACCGCAAGGCATCTGAGAGATAATGGAAGATGAGCTCATGCGATGTTGTATCAACTTCCTTCTGGTAATGGATCCAGGCCAATATTATTATTGTATTTATTATGCGTTCAATTAAACAATTTCAGTTTTTTGAGAATTTAAAAAAAAGCCAATAATATTCGCAATAAGGAAAACTTTTTTTCTCCTGCTATTTTAGCTCTGTTTCAGAAATATTGGGAAAATGAAAGATATTACTCTAATAAATATTTTATTTACAAGTAACTTTCAAAAGTAATATGTTGGTACACTTGACATAATCGATAACATTCCACCAAATTGGTGAAACATTGAACTTAATCGACAACATAACAAAGAGAAGAGTGTTAAGAAATGTTTAGATAACAATACCTACTAAATATAATAATATACATGAAGTGAAGTGAACAGAAATCAAGAGATGACTGATTAATAGTTCTTCACTTCTAAATCTATATAAACAATAATATGTCTGTGTTTTATATAATTATCATCTATTAATATGTGAAAATAGGTACTAATTCGGTTTTTACATTTTGGAAGATACATATTTAATATATACTATCTTCGTGTCCTAAATATACTATATTTTCATTTCGAAAGATACCTACATATGAAAAAAACCCAGTAGGTATATATCTTATATTCCCTATAGACAAAAATAGTGACACAAGTCGAAATTTTCAGTTTTTTTGTTTTATACGCCAACATAAATAAAAACTGGTATATTTTGAGCGAGAAAAGTGTCATAATTATGTTACCAACACTGATCGCTAGAGAGTCATGTGTTAGCCCGGCCGTACACGGACCACATATTTGCAATTGAGGCAACCACAACATTGTGGCCACGTTGACTGCACTTTGCGGTTGACCCAACCACATTTTTGTGGTCGACTTGCGGTCATATAAACCGCATTTGCAGTTGAGGCACCTGAACTGAATTTTGTGATGTCAGAGTTTAGTGTCAGTTTCAAAATTGATTTCGAAGAAGCACTACTACTTCTTATTTTAAGGAGAAGAAGAAGACGTAGGAAGGTACGATCGATTTGGGTATATCCACTTCTGGCTGCGCGACAACGGGAAGGAAATTTTTATATTTAATTCAATAAACTCTGGCAAGACAAAAAACATTTTTTAAATACTTCAGAATTTCCATTAGTTCTTTTGATGAACCAATTGAAATTTTGAAATCAAAAATTGACCGCTGTGTGACCAATATGAGAAAAAGTACACGACGGTGTACGCGGTTGGGTACGACTGCAAGTTTGTGGTTAGTGTATGGTGGATACCACGATGACATCTCGGCGGAGATCAGCAGCAAGTTGACTGCAGACGCCCATTTTTACTTTTGTGAACTTCCGTGTACGTGTAGTACAGTATTTCTTATGTGCGGCTTGAGTTCGCTGGAACGCAACTGCAATTGTGTGGTCGATCCGACCGCAAAATGTGGCTCGTGTACGGGCTCTCTTACTACGGGTTTGCTGGCACAGAATAGTAAGCAATTTACTATTCTGTGGTTTCCGTATCTGAAAGTGGGGGAACACTGGTACATCTCAGTTGCTACCCTTAGTGAAAACTCAGGAGTATGTAGCGGAAAATTCAACACTATCTTGGATTGAACACTATTGAACTGATATTATCAATATTTATTTGAAAATTTTTTGCCAAAAAAATTATCCTATCAAATTTGTCTATTTCTAGTCATGTGTGTCGAAATAACCAATGAAACCATCATTACACTGATAACTACCCATGGATAGTTTTCACGGGTAGTTATCACTTATGTCATGACATTGCTAAGCAACCAACACAATAAAGTTGTTTGACATTTCAGTAATTCAATTTATTTCGAAAATGTCACTTCCTCGTATGGAATATAACAAGCAAATTATTACAAGAAAAGTATTACAAGGAGTATAATATCATGCTAGACCCCTTTAAAAGTGTTGCATTCAAACAAGCGCGGAATGCACGCGACGCAGCACGAAGAAATTTACAAACAGATCCCACTAAACGCAAAACAAGCTCAGTACCATTAACTTCAAATGAAATGAGTAAAATTATAAACTTTTGGGATGAAAATACCCCTATAGGACTCCTACGCAAATTTTATCACATAGCAGCGGTGGAATTGGCTTGGAGAGGTGGTGAAGGTGCTGCTTGCTTAGTTGATTATTTTCATATCGAAAAGGACAACAATGGATCTCCAACTAATAGGATACAATATAATCCAATTTTCAGTAAAACCTGCCAAGGGGATTCAAAGAACTGCGCCTCTAGCAAATGGTTAGTTCAAAATAGTGATAACAATGCTTGTCCTGTCAGATTATTCATTAAATTATTATCAAAACGAGGCACAAATATCAAGACAAATAGACTATTTTTAAGGCCAAATCGTCACTGGAAGACAGGAAGCGATAACTGGTATGACAATATGCCTCTGGGTAGAAATATAATCAACGGATGGACGAAATCTTCTGCTGAAGCAATTGGCTTGGATACGAAACAGAAAATAACCAATCACTCTAATAGAGCAACTGCAGTCAGTCAACTAGCTAAGAGTGGAGTTCAAGAACAGCAATTGTTGAAAATTGCTGGGCACAATAATGGAAATTCCATAAAACCTTATTTGAATATTGATCAGGAACATCATAACCAAATAATCAATAGTATGCGTGGAAACACCTATGCAGTAACCGAGGCAAATACAGCAAGATCAACGGAATATCATTATACGAATTGTTCTTTTAATAACTGTGTGTTCAATAAATAATTTTGTTCGAATTGCAAAAAATTTTCTCACCGAATATCCCTCGAACATTGATAAATAACTCATAATTTTATCACAACTTCCTCAAGCACGTTATTTTAGGTAACATCCCTCTGCCTTCGGCGTCGGGATGTTACCAAATAACGTGCTTTCGAAAACTGTGATAAAATTATTTCGTTAGTTATCAATGTCCTTGGGATATTATAGCTGATAATTTTTGTTCGTAATGAGTTCATCTTTAACTGAATGCATTTGTTCGTACATGAAAAAAAAAGTTTTTCCGTCAAAATTTGTACGAGCTAAGGATTAACGAGGTCTTACCTTTTTAACGTGTGATAACCAAACAACCCTACATATTTCAGAAATTAGCATCAAATGATAATAACCTATGTGGTGGAGAATGAAAAATGCATAACTCGTTGATGTCCTTTAAATCCGTGAATTTCCTACATTCCTCTTGATTTTTCATATACCAGAGCGTTTTTTTCCTAGCCACGTGTCGTGGCGTTAACATCCAGTGTTACTTTCTCTCCCTGAACCATTTGATTGATACTCATGGTTCGAAGAATTTCGAATTGTGTTGAAGAATCAACAGAAATCAAAATACACACATACGTACGTTGATTTCACTCTGTTAGCATTATGATATCATTCTAGAAACGTAAGGATATAGACGAGAGTGTAGATTGAACACCAAGAAAGTTCCGCATTGCGCATGCGCGTTTCTAATTATACCATAGGTGAATGTTTGTCTATAGTAAAACCAATAATGATTGAGAGTAAACCGCGTTGTCATATCTAAATTTTACGTTACCAGTTTATAGCAGAATCAAAATATAGTAAGCAGTAGAGTTGTAGGTTGTGGCAAATTATAGATAATACACAATACTAGTACGATTAAAAGGTATTATTTATGACAAAAATCAGTAATGAGCTTGTAATGAGTAATACTTATACATTTCCTGATTACTGATCAGTTAAAATTCATTATTTTCTGTATAGTGTT